GTGGTCCTGCTGCTCAGAGTGGTGTCTGATTTTAATCTTAAACTGACTCTTTACGTGCATTCCTGTTGATGATGCAGTAGACGTGGTCAGTTTAAGATTAAAATTACTAAATTTGTTACTGTTTTTGTTGTGGATGATGATTGTTTTGTTTATGTTGTTGATTATTATTTCTTTGTTTTTGATTATGATTATTTTGTTGTTTTTATTGATGATGATGTTGGTTGTTGTGATGTATGTTGTTATTGTCGTCAACATTGTTTGTATAGTTGATGTTTTTGTTGTTATTATTTACACTGTGTTTCAGTCAGACACAGAGTTCTGGGATAAGATGCAAGCGGAGTGGGAGGAGCTTGCTCGGAGGAACTGGTTGGAGGAGTCAGGGAGTCAGTCCCCGGTCCCGACCACCACCATCTCACCTGTGGAGCAGGTAACGATGATGTCATCATTAAACTCGTAAATTTGTGATTGCTTCATTTATTTTTTTTACTTTATTTAAATTTAACTCTGAACCACAGGAAAACTTTTCCAGAGTCTGAGAAACCAAACTGACCCCAGCATGTGTGCTGGAGCTCTGCTGCTTCAGAACTTAGACTGGTCCCATGTTCCCAGCATACATCTGTGTACTTCTACAGATCAGCAGATTGTCACAGAGATGATAATCTGCAGCTTTAATCCTCTGGACTGAGATCAACTGTGACGGGCACAGCAGTAATCCTGCTCTAATCCCGCCCTCTGCCCATGTCTTACATCACCATGGCAACGGGGGTGATGTGGAACATCTGGTCACAGGTGTCAAACAGATCCCCAATTAGCTCCATTCTTCTGTAGATTCAGATTAAAACAGGAACTTCCTGGTGGTGTTTCACAATAAAAGCTTACAGAAAGTAGGAAAGGAAATAAATATTTAAATTTAGATGATCTACCTGACTAACGAATCGAAGCTGATAAACTTTCTGTCTTTCTGGGTCCTGCAGGGTTCCAATTTAATCACCAAGAACCCGTACAGAGACCGGTCCAGCACCTTCACCGAGGCTCAGCAGAAAGCACGACAGGGAGACCTGAACACTGCTGTCCTGTTGCTGGAGGCCGCCATCTTACAGGACCCACAGGACGCCGAGGTGACCCGTTACAGCCAACTGATCCTGGTCCCGTTCTCTGGCTTGGTCTGATTGTGGTCCTGGTTATGAACTGGATCTGGTACCACTTAAGGTCGTCTCCTCTTCTGGTGCATTTCAGGCCTGGCAGCTGCTCGGAACAACTCAGGCTGAGAATGAGAATGAAGAAGCTGCTCTCCTGTCTCTGCAGAGGTCAGGTGTCATCCTCAGTGACCCGTTGGTTCATTAAGTGATGAAGGGAAACACTAACTGCTCACCTGCTGCAGGTGTCTGAAGCTCCGCCCCAACAACCTGCCAGCTCTCATGGCACTCGCTGTTAGCTACACTAACAGCGGCATGCAGCTGGAGGCCTGTGCTGCTCTACGCCGCTGGATCAGCCACAACCTGCGGTACAAACACCTGGTCCAGGAGAGCAGGAACTTCCTGAAGGACTCCCCATCCACGCCACGCAGGGGCACCCAATGCTCCACAGCAGCCAGGTAAAACACCTGAACGAGCCCTCAGAACCCTGAAGCTTCCAGTCTGAGCTATGCAGATCCCATGAGCCCCGCTGATTGTTGCTATGGTAACAGATCCACCCACAGATCATTTATTCAACCTTTATTTAGACAGGTAAATCGCATTGAGCCTCGAGGACTCATTTACAAGAGAGACCTGATTTAACAAAGAATGATGACAACAATGGACAATCATAAAAGAGGTGTACAAACTGAGAATAACAAGTGAAAATGAAATGGTACAGTAGTTTCTTGTTGATTAGAGGCATCCGTACCCTCCTGAAGCTCCACGATAAGTGAAAAACTGCAACGTAGGAATAATAGTATAAGTAGTGAGTAGTAGTTTATTTTAGTATATATACTGTGTATATGTGTATATATATATTTATATACATATATATATATATATATATA